TGAAGGACTTGAATTCACACTGTGTCATGGAAACAGTCAGACGGAAGCTACTACGCAAAATCTGAGATATACACAATGATAAGTTGAAATAAAGCAGATAGCAGAAGAATGATCATTATTTTGTAGCTAGAAGATAGCCATCTACAGAAGATGCATAGAAAGATGTGTTTCTGCAGGGATCCGCCTAGAGGAAAAACTCGTTGGACACATATGGAGATGAAGAACACGTGCCACCAGCACAACATCCAACAACATTCATTTTTGAAAGTAAAACATTGTTTTGGTTTTTCTGTGTTGTATGGCTTGTTAAATCTTTCTAAAACTGATTCAACAGGAGTTTAGCAATCTCAAATATAAGTGAAACTTACCTCCTTTATCCTGTATCTGTGTTTCACGTAAGTAATAAGTAAATACTGAAGCTCAGTGTGCATTAGTAAAGATCACGCTGTCTAAATTTCTAGCTAGGTGGTAGATATCAGTCACTTCAGCTATTTCCCAGACATAACGGGTATATATCTATAAAAAAACTCTACAATCAGAAACTCTGACCAGACCAAATGCTTACAAAATTGATCAATTTCTGAAGCTCTGTAACTAGAAGACCTTTGTATTAGCAGAGCTCTCCTTTTGATAGCCTTCAGAATATTTTTAAGGAAATAATATGAAGAACTTAGAATTTCTGCTTCTGAAGTAAGACAAAAATTCAAGCAACCCTGAAAAGGAGTATCTGTCGCCATGAGGAAAAGTTTGAAGCCTCTATTTGCCCCATTGACTCCTAGATCAATAAATGAAAACACTTTGGGTAAAGATTGATATAAAGATTGATATAGGTAAGACATCTAGATCTGCCTGAAGAGTGTTCTGAACCATGTAACATTCATGAATAACCACAGAGTAAATACCATATTATTAAAGTCTGAAATGTTCTAAATTCCCCACAAATACAGCAACTGTAAACAGGAAGGATAACATTCTTGCTTATGTATACATGCCTAAAACCACTTCAATTTCTAAAAAAATGCATGTCATTTGGCACTACAGTAAATTACTTACTGAGATGCAAAACTTTGAGAGTTTACCATTAGACAAGCATATGTTAGAGTTTCACAGTGCAAAACTAGTAGCTTTAATTATCTAATATCATGCCAACCTTGTCAATCTACATTAGTAAATAAAGTTTCTGCAAAATTAGCTCACTCAGAAGTTAAGAAGTTCCCCTCTTCTATGAAAAAGCCTTTTTAACAATCTCCATTTGAATTTACATGTGAAAGTATTTACAAAACACATTCCTAAGTATTGTATTTTTATAACACCAAAAAACCACAGCCAAAACCCAACAATCAAATTCCCAAAAAACAAAACAAAAAAGATCATCTTTAAGGCATTTTTAAGTTACTATAATTTCAGGGTTACACTCCCAGCAGACAAATTTATTATCAACTTAGACAATTGCTGAATTTGTAAAAGTGTTTTGCTTTTTCAAGCATAAGCATTAAAGAACCAGTGAGAGAATGTCTAGGCTCCTTGTCTTGCTCTCAAGCCAGATGATACGGGACTACCCCATCCCTACAGATGCTTGTCTAGACTTTTTAAAATTCTTGCAGTGACAGAGGTTTCACCTGACACTGTCCCCCGATGGGTACTTAGCCCATTCATCACCATTTTCAGAACACACACAACATACTTGACATACAACGTGAGCTTTTCCCAGTTGAGATGCCTGTCCTTCATGAAAAAGTTTTGCCCTTCAATGCTAACAATACAATCCTGAAATTTATTCCGAGCTTGCGATATCAACAAAGCTTTAGCTTTAGGTACAAACCCTGCTCTAGTTCTTCATGTTTAGTTTTGGTCTTTCTGTTGATTCCTACTAAACTCCAGCTCTTAGTATATTAAGAACAAAGCAGTTTGGACAGACAGAATCAAATGCCTCAGGCAGATTTATAAAGGCAAGAGTTTAAGTCCTTTGAATATTGAAAAGTAGACTAAAGGGAACTCACAGCTACCCCAAAGTATGAGACTGCTGAAAACTCACTTAACAGATCTCATTTCTCAGTCCTCATTTTGGCAGAAAGATTTTTCTACCTCTCAGCCTATACTACCATTCCAATTTTATATTTAAGTAGTTACGTCTATCTCCACTAACAGCAATGAATATAAAAACCCACAAAATAAATTTACAGTCAGAGATGTGCTGCTAATGTACATTTTAATGAAGGAATTTGAACACTGCAGTATTTGTGCAGCTAATTTTAAAATCCTCCTCAATTAACAATTTGAGAACTAAATATTATTAGGAACACCATTTACATCTGTACAGGCAAACACATACATTCAGCATGACGAAGATATAGACAAATACCCTAATTAGGCACCTTGCTCTGTCAGCAACATTTTCCATAAATGTAGAAGGAAAAAAAATCTAGTGCACTCTTGCTTCCTACGCACTACTGTAAACCTGAACCAGTTATGTTCATAATTTGAAGGAAACAAAATAAAAATAAAAAAAGGGAAATATTATCCCGAGACACCTTACTAAAGAGAAAAAATAATAATTCACCACATCTAGAAGAAAAGCTCACATAAGAGTGGTGCAAATTTTGTCTTTCCATGCCTAAAAATGGTAGCATGTTTGAAGGTCTACCTTCATATACTTCGTTTTTATTGCAGGGTAAATGTTTAAGAAAACCTTCATCATGAACAGGGAGATTCTTCTATTCTCTGAAGTCTCCCATTACTATGAAGAGTAAATTACGGTTCTATCAAGAAAGAGGAGGCAGGAGCTGCCCCTGAGACTGATTTTAAAACATGCACTAGGGAAGTTCTACTGTTGAACTCTCAGGACACCTCAGGAATCACATTGCAGTAGTGCCACCCTTACCATCCTCATTTTCCTGCCACATTCCCCTGCTATGTGTCAGACTTAAATAAAGCAAAATTATTACTAGTACTACTACTAATGGTAATGTATACTGTGTTTGCTCTCTCTGAATAGGATAAAACTTACTAAATCTCAAGATTACACATGAAGAATTAGCCATGACTCCAGGGTTGGTTTTGTTTGTCTGTCTCAAATAGTACCTCCTAAATCTTCTCTGGTATTTATAGTTCAAATAAATTTTATACTTAACGGAGCTCCTTAAACACCAGAAAAAAACCAAAAAACGATAGAACAAATGAAAAGGAATAAACCCCACCACCTTGGGGTAGTAATTTCCTAAACAATGTAATTCTATATAAATTTTAGCAGCTTCTTATATGTCCCCTTTTTACAGCTCCACAAGGAATGAACTAGGAGATTTTTTGCTACAGCAAAGGGATTTTTCCAGTATTCTTAATTAACCAATTATTTTGTCAATTATGTCAAACGGATTTCCCAGCAGGCTAGAACATTGTTAAAACTATATATAAACAAATAAAAATTTCCAATAGATCTCCTGAGAATAGGAAGTAATGCCCAATTGTATTGGATTTATAGATAAAAAATGGCCAAAGCTTTGAGACAAGTATCGGAAAGGGTTTTCGGAATCAAGAAATCAATAATGGCACTGTGTCCTTTCCTCTTTCTTGCTTCATTAACTTTTGTAAACAGTAATTGAAACTGTGTTATATGCAGTGAACTGAAAATAAAGCACTGTTGTGCTGGTTTTTTTTAAAAAAAACTTCAAATGTGCATTTGTAGGAATAGGTACTGTAAAAACAAGGAATCTTTAAAAAGTGTTCCAGAAAGCCACAAGTTTGAAGTAAAATAGCTTTATCAGTCTGGAAAGCAAGTAGCTTTCACTGGCAGCCTGAGATAAGCCATTTCAGTGCACAGAAAGCTTAAAAATAACGTGAGTTTCAGGCTGTTGAGCAAAAATTGATTTTAGATTGAAATTATTGCAGATGTTTTGAACAACAATCTCTTCCTCAGGGTGACCCAGTTACAGGTGAAGGTTATTTGTAAATTACTTTCCAAAAATTCTCAGGCATGGTACACAATTTATTTTAACCAAAACAACAGAAGTCCTGTCTGGTAGAGAGAGGTGAAAAAAAAAAAGTGGAGTCAATACTTCTTTAACAGAAATAAGACTCATTATAGAAAGAGAAGGCACAAGGGCTGTGATAATTATATATTCAAAGTTACTGATTATAGAAGACTCAGCTAGACCAGTAACATTTAATTTTAAGTCACACTGGGATTATCTTCCATCCTCACTCTTTTTTCCCTTAGTAGTCCGTTTATGAATTAATCTTACAATATTCAACTTGTGCTCCTGTTGCCATTCAAAATACTGCAGACATCACCAACATTAAAAAAATAAAAGTCAAATATTTTCAGAAACACCATTCCACCAAAACTCTTCCTACCAGAGTGTCAGCAAAGTTGTCAAAAACTATAATCAGCAGAAAGCATGTACATTGGATCAAGAAAGATTTTAGTAATTTAATTGTATTAAACAGATATATACCATGAGAACTAATGTGTTCTTACACATGACCTCAGCATAAAGTATGTCAACTGTCAGTAAATCAGCTGGTTCAAGATAAATTGGAATATATAATTTAGAACCACTCAAAAAAAATAGGGAGAAGTGACCTTAGGCAAGAAAATATGCTAAATATTCATGAATCTATATTTAACTAAGACATACAGGTAATAGATCGGGAGGATAAAATCTTTTAGTTTAGTACTCACCTTTATGACCATCTCAAAAGATATCCAGGTAAATTTAATAAGAGCGTTTGAAATGACAAAGTATATAGACCGCAAAATGAAAACCTACACCATAAGGAGCAGTGTAAATAAATTCCTTATAAATTGAAAAATACAGTAGCATTTACTGATGACAGTACAAACACTTATACTAACTTCATCAAGCAGTACTTGAAGACCTACATACTCTGACAGAGAGCTTGCCTAAATCTACCAAGATTTCAAAACACATGTTAAGATTTGCAGTATATATTCACATGCAAGCATATACTTTCTTCAGCAACACACTGGGGAAGACAAGTACCTGGCAAGTCTGAAAAAAGGAGAATGCATTCATTGAATCCATTAGCCAGAAGACGATCCCTCAGTTGCTGAAGTATTGCCACTCCAATACAGAATGGGAAGGAGGAATTTCCAAGCAGTAATGTATCCCACAAGTGAAAAATTTTGTGCAAAGGAAAGACATCTGCAGGATGAACAAGCACAATGAAAGAAAAGCTGTAAGTACATAAGTTGACAAAATAATATACATACACATACACTCTTAAGGAGTTGCCTATGTACTTTTTCCTCTCTAATCTTCGGGTTATTTCTTTTTTTACTTGGGAGTAAGGACTCAACCGGTTTAGAAGCAGGTTTGTCTTCATATGCAGTTTGATTATTCTGGAAATCAGTGTCTTCTCTCACTATCAAATACTTAAGTATGCACAGGTCTTCAGATTTTAAACACACACAAAAGTAGGAAATTTATTTTTCTTTTGGTACAGGGCAATTTTACATTAGGACATGCATATCAGTTTTTTTCAACAGCATGAAGACGTTAATGAGTTAATGTTCAACTACTTAAAATTAGTCAAGAAAATAAGAACACAGCAAAAAATGGCAGAATAAATGGAAGACAAGGAGAAAAGACATCTCAAAATAGCAACATTTTACATACAAAGCTGAAGATGGCTCTCTTAAAATATGCTATCCTTCAGCTAAATATTTCTAACGTTTTATTGCCATTCACTGTCAAGGAAACCATCTCCTTCGTTTTCCAAAGGTGGTGACTCTCACAGAAGTTTTAGAAGAATGGACAACTGCAAGAATGAGTGCTTTACAGTCAATATCTTTAAAAATTCCAGTCAAGAACCTCACATTAAATTCTTTGATATTTCATCAGAGAAATAACCCATTAGCTCTTTTAATGTTTTTTTTTTTAATTCAAAGTTTGCAAATGCTGATATGAAATGAAAAATATCACAGAGATCTTTGAGAAAATAAGATTTTGAATTGCTTTCTAGACTTACTTTATTAACTTTGTCCTCTTTCATTAACAGCTCACTAAATTATAAAGATCTTTTTGTTCCTAGCACACATGCACAAATATCATAGTAAACTACTGCTAATAGAATAGCAATGCATCAAGTGCTATTAAAAAAGCTTGCTTTGGTGGTCTCCAAAAACAAAGCCACTCTCTTTCTTACATTTTTTATGTGAGGGCAGGAGAAGGTGGTGAGGTTTGGGGGTTTTTTTAAAACTATTTTTAAGTATTATTACATCTTTTTTTTCAGTAGATTACAGCTTCCTTTGCATGTCCCCTAAATACTATATGCATAAAATAACCCAGTTTAAATTAAATGTAATACTTCCTGTAAAAAGTAAAAAACCATCAATTTTTGACAAATCAGTGCAGAAAATATGTGACAGGCATTATTGAGACTCAAACCACAACTACACGTCTCTGTAAATTACAAGTGACCAACTAAATGATAGACACAGCACACCAGTTTGGAAGATTTTAGCTGAAAAAGTGTGAAAAAATATGCTTAAGAAATGCAAGAACATTTAATTAGAGAAAAAGAATGCATACTCACGTGTAAACATTGTAAGAAACCAAGGAATAGCATAAAGCTGCAAAAGAAGGTGATGGGGGGAAAGAACAAAAAAAAACATTTTAAGAGCTAAGTTGGTTATGACAATTACCTACTACATTATACATTGCCAAGCTTGGTGTAAATGTATTTAAAATGCAAAATGCAGTGGCAGAACCACTATCACACAACTTTTAGACTCACAGAGAAGATTTTTACTCTCCCAGGCTCCCATTCTCATCTCTTTCAAATTACTCGTTTGTGATACTGTATTGAAAACAATAACAAAACCACCCTTGCTAGGCTTATGTTGCCAAAACATAATCCCCAAAGTCTAAAAGAACTCAAGAAACTGCTCTATTAAACTGTCACGGTTCTCACCTTACATATACATATGGCTATGTGAAAACTAGCAAAGGATGTTTGAACAAGCATAAAAGAATTTAAGTATTTTCTGGACTATGGAAAAAACCTGCTTCTACATAAATAATTAAAAGTGCAAATCACAATTTCCAACAATAAAATTAATTATATCTACCTTTTCTCCTATGTTGGTATTAAAATGTATACTTGTCACTGAAAGGCAGTAAGACTAGTTTCATTTTTAGAAGCACATACTCAGTAATACCTTAAGCATTTATTTTATTCTATTGTGACCTTTAAAGGCAGGTGCCATCTGAAGAATTTGAGGCTGCTTCAGCACTTACACTGCTACGAGACTGTCTGATTTTGTGCTGCTGCAATGGCAACAGAACACCTTCAGTTTCTGCAAACTTTCATACTCATGACAGAATATAGAGAAAATTCAGTATGAATTACAAGAGCTAAGCATTAAGAAACGCCTTAAGAGTTTCTTAACTTTCAGTGAAGTATTTGGTATGTTGAAGGCAACAGAATTTATTTCCTTGAAACATCAAACTGCAGAGTCCCCACAAATTAGGAATGCAAGAGTGAGACAATCATTGTTAAATTTTACTCAGTCACATAGCCCGTGTACTCTGTTTTCCACTCCTGAAGATTTACAGTTAGACATAAAGATTAATATATTACTTTTTAGCTCATAAAAAGTGCAAATTAGTTCTCCTATTAAGTTTTTTGTGGAAGTAAGCAGAAGAGAAGCAGAAAGCATAATCAATATTATGTTAATAAATTACTACTTATTCCATAAACTTTTAACTAGGTTATGGCACTAAGTAAATGACGCACACATTTGCTGTAAAGCTCTGTAGCACAGCTCCCTCTCTTATTTTATTCCTACGTCTTTATCTGAGCATCTGAACCATAGTGTCCATGAAACTAAAAAAGCTGCAGTGACCAGAGTGTTCACTACATTAAATATTCAGGAGACTTTTATAAAGCTTGGCCTCCAACCTACCGACAGATTTTTATAGATTCAAAAGCCAAACCAAATCCATTCCTATCACTATTTTCACCTTACAATACATTCACACTATTTCCCCAAGTATATATTTGCTGTTGCTTCAATAGGTGGCTCTCTACTAAATACTAACATACCCCATTCCCTGAAATATCTCCTTCAGCACTTGTGGTCCACTAATACCTGTTTACCTGCTTTCTTCTATGCAATAACTTGTTTTCTATGCAGTAGGAAATCAAGTATTCCCTGAGGGTCCTCTTTGTCTGGAGGTACATATTAAGTGGACATAATTTTGAACTACATTATTTCCTTGCTATCTAAAAGCAGTTATTTTCTCCTTTGCTTTTAATTAATTAAAATGTTTTACCAAAGCAGATTCACACTTTCTCCTAATTTCACAAGTACCCCTATCTTGTATGCATCTACACATAAATACACAGAATATACATGACATTTTAAACATTCAAGAGATTACTAAAATGTAACTGCAAGGCAAAGCACTTCTTTGCACTAAACCATCTTCACCAAATCTATCGATAGTGACATAAAAAGTAGGTCAAGCTATTTAAGTAGAAGTTATCAGGCAAGTTTTTATTGAGGGCGTTTTTCCTTCCAATTTTCATAACTATAACGTCCTAAGACAAAGAGGTCTTGGTAAACCTGAAAAGGCTATAATTACTATTAATAAGCAAGCAAACGCAAATCGAATTGAAAAATACGAACAAAAAGAACTGCGATGACTAGAATTCCTCAAATTACCAGGCCACCAAATTCTTTTAGTTGACTGCACTTTTAACCTATTATTAGTCAATACTGCCCTCTAGCAGCCACCGCCTGGAACAGCATCGCGCCATGGTTCTGTGCGAACAAGATGCTGTTGAAGGGTTTTCGACCCTTCACAACTGAACACTGAAACATAAGGAAGTTGTGGTTTTTATTAACATTTAACCCTCCATAGCTGGGAAACACACCTAATGTTTAAGCAAAGTAGCGTCTGAACTGCCGGAACAGCCTGAGAAAAAGTCACATTAAAAGAAGAGCCTGTAAAACCAATACTTTTTCTTTTTTTAGAGCGGGCTTGAGATCCGCAATGCCATAATTACAATTTTGCTTTGCTAAAAAAATATAAGCTCTTTTACGTTTTCAAGTAAGGACTTGGACTTTTCTTATACATGAAGAACACAGCAGATGCCTAACATCAGTTTCTGTTCAAACAATCTGAATAAATCCACAGAGTTTTTTAGTTACAATTGAAATTTCTTGTCCTTAGACTTGATTTCATTCTATATCTTTCCATTATCCCTTGCTAAAGCTTCCTTTCCAACAGTGCTCTGCTATGACAAATTCAGCTCAGTACCTCGCCTTGGAGATGCAGATCCTTATTGTTCAACAGGGTAAAGATGTTTACTTGCCTGTAGTTAGATGGGCGGATTTTGAGAAGAATGCATCTTCCATTAGACACTCAAAGCTCTTAAGAGATATTAGCTCAAGTCTCGATGAAAGCCTTTTTGATGAGGATTTTATTATTATCTGTTATCACTGTCTGGATTGTTTCATTATTTGCCTGTTCCTCCATAAGATGAGACCTTTACACACTTAGGTCTACAGAAGATTGAGATTTCAGTTGTAAAGATAGGAGTTTGAAAGAAACTGAGGTGCAGGGGATTTTGATTCTAAAGGTACTTTAGAAGGAACAGCAAGGTGAAAACGAGTGTTGTTAATGTTTGTTGGTGGGGATGGTAGGGAGTATTAAAAGGCATAATGAACTTCCTGCTCTGTGAAAAGTCTGCCCTGTATGATCGAAGTGCACCCCATGACAGCTACAGTATGCATCTGGTGGCAGGATAATGAAAATTAATTATTTAAAATTAAACTTTTAAGTTTTCAAAACATCAAAAATGCCAACATTCTTCACAAGTTCTTGTTCATTACACATGTACAGCACTTAGAGTTAGTGAAAACCTCTAAGAAAATTCAAAAATCTCAAAGGAAGTTCACCCTCCACACCTCTTAGAATTAAATTGCTGAGATCATGGTTAGATACCTACAGTGTTAAAAATAACGAAATCAATAACTGTAATCATTATACTGAAATATTCTGTGGAAGAATTCTTACATGACCATCTGCTATTCCATGCAGCCTGTTACTTTAAACTGGTAAAGTGTCATGTCTTCACCATTACAAATAATTTTTAGACAGATAACAAAATCCCCTACACTAGAGCATGGCTCTCACCCTGTTTTTCACTGTTAAAGACTATATTGGAGCCTTTCCTTCTCAAAGCTGAAGTCACAGGAATACAGGAAATATTCTACCAAGTATTCTACCCTCAATGAGCAGCTCATTTGCTTCAGAACATCCTATGAGGTGGCAAGGCTGAAGATGAAAAAGCATTTTTTGTTTGTTTTTTCCCTGCCTATGAAGTTGCTGGGTTTCTTTCTTTTTTTGGTTATCTGATGTATGTATGTTACAACACTGCCCAACAATAAACTGGATTTTTATTTTGCGGAGTTGTCCTACCAAGGCTGCCTCCCAACTGCTGCTTTTCATTTAAATTTTTTTTTTCTCTCTACAGCTTCACAGAATCACAATAGAATTACAGGCAGTTGTGTAACAGAACAAATGAGGATAAAGTACTTAAATAGCTGGATTTTTAATTCTCAGTTAGATGAAGCCCTACTACTGAGATCTCCTGCATATCACCAAAGTCAAGCTAAGGCATCTGCCTATGACAGCAGCTCCAACACAGTGATATTAAGTAACTGCAGCCAGACTTTGTCATCTCTGTTAATGGCCAGACGACAACTGTGTCTAGCTTCCATAATTTGCAGTTGAAAGCTCTTTAGAATAATTTATGGCCATAGTTATCCTCTTAGTAATGTAGCACACTTGCATGGGGTTCTTTTTCAGTTCAAAATGGTCTGATGTTGATACTTGAACTATTTGGTTAAAATATAGAACACATTATAAAGCATTATATAGGGCGGGGGAGATTATAAATTTTGGGAGAGTGAGTGAAGAACTGTAGGTTTCACTGTATATATCTCTATATTTACATGCAAATCACACAGCCACAGCAATGTATTTAATCCAGGCAGCACATCAGCTAACAATCTTCACAACTATTCAAGCTTCAGCAGGGTTCAATATTGGGGAAGCTACATGACCTGAGGCAAATGAGAAGGGTGCCAGGAAACACAATCTTTGCTGCAGCAGAGCCTGTGTTGCAATGATGAAAGATTAATCAGGGTTTACTTTGAGAAGATTAGTACTCAAGCACAGAACTCTTGTTCAGATCTCATTACTACAGTGTGCATCCTTCACCTTGATGGATCCTGTGCTGTCTTGTTACAGTACAAAAATCTCCTTTCTCACTAATCTAAATGGTAGAACAACTTTTATTTATCTATTAAAAAACACCCGGACGATTTTAAAAGGCCAGCCTCTCTTCAGCAGTTAGTGCTAATTTTAGAACTAGCATTTCTATTCAGTGCAAGAGGGTTTTCTTCTGCTTGTTTGTTTGCTTTAAAAAAGATCTGTTCTGCAATTATTTACTATATTACCTAATCACCTCTATATTCTAATACTTTTGAGACAAGACTGATATTTGACTACATGTTGCCCAAAGAGCAGGACAACACAAAAACTAAATGCAACAAAGCAGGTGATTCCAACTGACTTGCACTTTGAAAGACTTAGTGCAGAAAGGTAAACGTATAAGCAGACACTAGGAGTTGCTGAAAGATCAGCTAGCACTCAAGATGGGTTCTAGAGTGCTTCCACATAGGTTAGTAACAGAAACTGTGAACTGTAAGTCAGCCAGGGAAATTACATCTCTGCCTCTTAACTGGGAACTAGTATCCTGGACAAAACACACAGAGGAACTGTTTTGGTCATCTGCAGCCTTCAACAAATAAATATCAAGTGTATTTACATAACGATGCGACAAAATTGATTCTCCCTCAGGAACTTAAATGTTGCTCTTACCCATGCCCTTCATTTCCCCCAGATCATTGATTTTTGACGGTCTGACTATCTACAAATGAATTTGCTCACACGCTTTTTTTTTATTACTTGCAAACTGATGGTTTTTTGTTAACCAATGAAATTTAATTAGTTGGCAGAAAGTTTACTGTTAGTCATTTATGGCAACATTAATTTTGGTATATTAATCCATGCTTTAAAAATATATACATTTTTTAATATGAATCTTATAACAATAAAATAAAAATACTACTAATCGGTTATTATATTTACCATGCAAGCAACAGAACGGGAAGGACTGAGGTATGTAAAACAACATCAAAACTTTATTATTTCATCAGCATACTTAGAAAGGCCCATTTATATGAAAGTTTAACTTATGTCAAACTGCTACTGAAATAATCTGGAAAGGCATCTCATCCTAGTTGCCCTCATTTTACATTTTCTACTTCATTTGAACACTCTTTGTAAGAACTCTTATCACTTACATCTGGAATAAAACCAATTTCATTAAGGTGGTTACTCAGCTCTGGATCATGGAATGCAATCATCTGGGAAAACACTGTCAGGTATTCTGAAATGACAAGAAAATTCAAGATCATCATCAAAAACAAGCAGTAGAAAAGGAAGGACAATAATGATATTTCATTTTTTTAAAACCTACAATAAAAAGGTAAGTGAATATCACGAGTGTCCTCCTTGTCACCACTATATTCAATACAGAGGAAGATATATTTAATTTCTCCTCCTTCGTACTTTTCAATTTGCATTTTTAACAATGGTTTATGTGGTTCATGCTTAGGTTGTGATGTATGTCCAACATGCAAAGTTAAAGACTTTTTAGTATGATTGTGAGACACAAGATTTTTATGAAAGCATACTAGAATAAGACTGTTCAAGGATTTTTAAGAGTGAAAGTGTTTTAGTGATACACAAAGTTCATGCCTTTTAAGTTACATTCTGTGTGCTTTCTTTTCTACAAAGTTAAATTTTGTAATCTGAAAGTTGAGGTTTTAAGGCAATGGGGCTTTAAGGTTACCATTTCCATGATCATCAACATCTTAATTTGTGTCTTTTGGAACAGATAAGGAGAAATACTTACTGTAAAAGACAAAATTTATTGCATCTTCAGCATGGCACATTAGGCTGATGGGGCAATTTAATTGAATTGTACAAATAACACTTGGTTTTAATTGGAAGAGAAGTAGATAGCAGAACATAGACACTGGCAGATTCCTCTCCCTCCGTTCTTCCCCTCTCCCAATTTTGTCCACATTGTCATATGCTTTGTTAGAAGGAAGACAAGGAGGCAATAACATTGTATTTTGCAACAGGTGGCAACTCCTTTTCCTCTATACTCCCGAGAGTAATTAAGGCCCAGACAGCTCCGTGATCGGAGGAGACAGACAGAGAACGCTCCCAGATCAGAACATGCTGACCTCTTGTTGCTGCACAGACTACTGTCCCCAAATATAAACCTACAAACATCAAGTCACAGAACCAGAGAATCTGATTTTCAGGTTGGAAAAGACCATTAACTTAGTAGTGCCAGGTCCACCACTAAACCATGTCACTAAGTCCACATAGCTCCACAAGTTAGCCATCCAGAATTGCCTGTGTTTCCTTTAAAATCCGTTGTAAGGACTAGATGCCTACTACTATCTCTTCTGGAGAGATGAAATAATTCTCAATTACTCAGTTTACTTCATCCCTATATGGGAAAATTAAATTCCAATTCCACAGCTAAGAAGCATAGAAGTGGCTCTGCTGGGATAATTCCACATATAGACACCTTTAGTTAAGAATGGAAGTCTGTCTAAACATTCAGTTATTTATTGACTCCTGTCATACTTAAATCTTGATTATCTGCACACAAGTTAGCTCCCCTCAGGTTAAGCTAGCATGTTAAAAACAATCACTGCAAAATAATTCTATTTGGATTAGGAATTTTAAAAGCTGATTCCACTGCAGGAGGACCAATAAACAATGCTCTCACTGTAAGAACACAAGAGAAACAAGCCAGAGTCCTACTGCAAATTATACTTGAAAGGGTGCCTAATTCTCCAAGGTAAGTTGCAATAAAAATTAAGACCTCTTGAGCCTACTTCAGAATTTCATGTTTGCTTCAAGCTGCAAAGTCAAAGCTCCAGCACACTAAACCTCTTAGCAGACTTCTGGCATCTCAGGAGGGTCAGCCTCTCCCCGCTGATCCCACCCCTGCACTACACCACAGATGCCCTGGCAGAACTCAGCTTGGGGAGTTAAGTGGGTAAACAGATCCATGATGAGTTTTGCGTCACCAGGGTCAAACTGCCCGAGAGCTACTCACCTATCGCCTGTTTTCTCCATTTCAAGCCAAAGTTATTCACAAGCACACAAGTTAGGGAGGTAACTGAATCCATGCCTTCAGTTCATATCACACTACCTGATAATAATTTTTTTTAAAGGCATCTCTGAGACTTATCTTACATCTGTTTTATTTTGTGAAACAGCCAGGAATCACAAGTCAGGTATAGCAACCCAGTAATCCTACACATTGAGCTATACGCTGACAAAAACAATCTCACAACTAGCTTCCCTGAAGCACATCTACTTTAAAAATGAAGATCCGTGCCCATGATGGTTCTCTACACATGTACTACAGATTGATAAATAGCATCTTTATTTCACTAGGCAGTCTGATGAAATATAATTACTGTATGGGATTACATGGTTAATTAATGGTCTACTGAAAACATAAACTTTCACAAACATATCGCCTAAGTCCAGCCAATTGCTGTTGGTTGGAATTTTATTATATCAATTTTTGTTTTACATAATTGGGTATTCCATACCCAAAACCCTGTAACTTCTCTTGCTTCCTTTTTCATGTAAGGAAATACATTTGATAGTCTTAGAAAAAACAGCTGTGTTGCATAGGACAAGCTCAGAAATGAGGTACGGTGAACTCTGCACTTTGAAAGATTCCTCCTGTCCACCCCTACATGGAAGACACAAAGCAGCTAAAATTGCAGTCAGCAGTTAAATGACACATTCTTAACACTTTTTTCCAACGCAATAAAGCAGGGAAATTACACAGAATTTTTCTTTAATGCTGTATTTAGACACTGGTGCTTGACATACGACCCTAAGAAAGGATTAAATCAGAACACTGAAAAGAATCCTAAAAGGTCCAGTCTCCTCGATTCCTTGACAATGCCAGATATTGCATGGAAACTCAGGAACGCCTACACCGCTTCGGTTCACAGAATCCTACACACCTCTATTTCTAACTTTGGCTGAGACGTAGTTTTGTAAAGCCCCTTAGGAACAGGACCAGGGAAGTCTAGAGAGCAAAAGTATTATTTTACAGAAGAGTACACCCCCTTGAGAAAAATCTTCACCAAGCTACTAATCTTGAAGTCTACAGTGGTTGTCTCCACAGCAACATCTGATGCAATGTCTTTACTCTTTTCATCTTTAAACCTTTACTGCCCTTTTATTGTTTCCAGCAAGCATCCTTTCCTTAGAGACAAAAGGATGCAAACAAATCTTGAATAGTTTTTCCAAACTGTTATTTTACATATCCAGTTCATAACACCTCTCACCCATTGTCTTTCATATGTAAACTCTCCTAACCACTATGTTCTCTCTTTATGTCAGTACTCTCCCTATCATCAATACATATCTCCTTTTATGTCTATTTTTTGTTGATCAGTTCTTAATTTTCTTTCATTTTTTGAAGAAAAAAATGACAAATACGATTTCTAAGTTGAGGGATTTCACAAGTTGTACACAAAACAATTTCTTTAAAAGAAATACAAGGACAGCAAGCCATGCTGAAACCCGGTATTTAATAAACACTCATAACTGCTTGCAATTAAAAATATTCATTACCACCTGCTTCACTAAGCTACTGATGGCTTTTCAAATAGCTTCTTTTAGTTTATAAAAACTGTCTGCAAGACAAATTGTCTTTCCAACCCAGACTGTGCCAAGGTGACCTTCTAGGTCTAGACAATTCCTTCTTCATGCCTTCATGAAATTTACAGTTAATTTCCAAGTAGAGCAGGAATACTTTTACCTCCTAACTACTGTTTTAATTTCTCTAAAGTTGTTGAAGACTGAACTATGAAACACTGTTGCTTCAGGCCCTGTCCCAAGCTGAATGCCATTATCTTCTGTTCAGTAAGAGTTTCCCCTTGAATCCCTAACACTCTGAATACTGTAACTTCCATTTTCTGAGGAGTCCTTAGTTTGAACTGTTCCTCTTAATTTTCTCTCACTGTCAAAATAGCTCCTGTAACAGCATGATTTTGATAGTTTGAAGGGTAGGACTTCAATTTAACACTGGAAAGAATACTTCCTTATTTTACAACTTTGCATGATCAACTGACTCCTACCTTGGATACTACACAGAACTGTTTTGGGCTGGTTTTTGTTTGTTTTTTTCCTGTGCAGTTGTTTATTTTTTCTTCTGCTTGAATCTTAATCCACTGATTGTGCTCCTAGTTTTCTTGCACAGCTATTGTTCTTAATTACTTAAAATAAATCTTTTGAAAGAAATAGGTGGGTATTTCTACAGTGTAATGCTAATTGTACTCCAATTTTACAACCATTTGAAAAAGCGTATTTATATTACCAAAAACAATTCTACTACTTTTAGAAGTTAAACTAAATAAATAAATAAAAGGACTGACTTACCTTGAATAACATGAGAATTATCCTTCAGAAAGAAGTTATACAAATACTTGGGGATAAAAGCAGACATGCAGGCATATGCCAGAGCTGAAAGAATTAGAAAAAAGTATGCAACTACAGAGATAGAAACTTAAGTAGACATAAGAAGAATTTAATTATTAAGCACATAATAAGCATAAATACTTAAAGCTATATGCAAAAATGGCTGTACAACACATAAGAGGGGTACATTCCTCATTAAAGAATTTTAAAAGCTCCTAAAAAAGTCTCTTTCTGTCACTGAGTAAGCAATATGAAGCTGGCTGGACCTGATCTGCTCCCAGTTTATTCCCATACTCGTCAGTGACAAAGTAATGAGTGGATACCTGGAAAGTCATTGCAATGTTTGTATCAAAAATTCAAGGTCCTTGGAAGAATAAAACTATAAAAGACATAGTTTCAGGTAAACATATTGTTGCAGTCTTAGGGGTTTTCTCCTATAGAAGTTAACACCCAGTTTATGCCCTGTCAGACTGGCATCTTGTCTCTTACTTCAGCTCAGAGCCTACAGACAATAGAATCCATAAGAAAAAAAAAGGGGAGGTGTGTGCAATACAATTAAAAATACTGTGAAAAAGATGGACAAAATCATCTTAAATTTCTCAGAGGCTCTTCACATACATACCAAATTGAGATTAGAGCGTAAAAATTTAAGTGTTAGAGAATCATAAAATCATAGAATGGCTTGAGTTCTAATAGACCTTAAAAAACATCTAGTTCCAACCCAAACCATGTCAGGGACACTTGTCATTCTATCGGGTTGCTCAAAACCCCATCCAACGCGGCCTTGAACGCTTCCAGGGAGGAGGCTTCCACAGCTTCTTTGGACAACCGGTGCCAGGGTCTCATGCACCCTCATAGTAAATAAATTCTTCCTAAAATCTAATCTAAATCTTTTTTTTTTAAGCCTCTTTCAGCTTAACACCAGTGTCCCCTGACCTATCACTACACTCCCTCCTCAGCCTTCTTGCAGGCCCCCTTCAGGTACTGGAAGGCCTTATAGCTCTTCCCAGAGCCTCCAGGCTGAACAGCCCCAACTCTCACAGCTTGCCCTCACAGGGTAAGTGTTCCAACCTCCTGATCATCTTTGGGGCCCTCCTCTGGACTCGCTTCAATAGGTCCATGTTCTTTTTGTTTATCTTTGTTGATAATTTCCCGGGAACTTGGCCAAGAAACAATTTATTGGAATACAATTTTTAACCATGGTGCTAGACTGCAGGTATAAAAATGAAATGCAAGTTTGGTGTAAATTGTCCAAAGACAATAAATACAATTTTGGAAGTTTATAAGCAAAAGATCAGATTTATAGCAAATATGAGATACGACAATGTTATAAACAAATTCTGTGTTGCAACTTTTCTAGCATTGAAGCCATTTTTGAAATATTTGAGCCAAAAGTACACAAGTTCATAAATTAGAACACAACATTTTATATAATTCATTACTATCATATTCAGATTTAATGGGAAGGAGACCAGGTTCTACAATCAAACCGTATAGTAACATGTCCAAGAGCAAGAAAATTCTGTTGAGATATTTAAATCAGTATGAGCAGTAAGCCTAATAGAAGTCATTGTTCTAAGAAACTAGTTTTCTGACATACAGACCTTAAAGAAAGCCTGGTGCAAGAGAATAGAGAGTTGTACTAGATTTATTCTGAAAAAAATCACATTCTAAGAAGCTAAAGTCCACATATCCAAAGCTGGTCTGATAAGGTTTTAGGCATTTAAAACCATCATAATCTTTTCTGAACAAAGGTAGACTGACTGGTTAACAGTCAGGTTAACAAATAATGCAACCACATTAAACAATGTTGAACTACAGCTTCACTGAAAAAGACAAGTACTAGAGAAGCATTTCTTGCTTTTTGGTAATCAAGGTCATTTGTGCTTTTAATTATATATTCATTATTGTACCTGGCAATGAACACAGGGTTTGAAACCTTGCTTGAAGAGCAGTGCACCACATACACTTTTCAAAAACCAAACGTTTCTCTTGACCAGTGGCAACAAGAACTTTAAAATTCCTTTGTAGCTACAGAAAGTTTCCATCTATAAGTGGGTGCACATACATCTGTCTACAACTGGACAGAGATGACAGACTGTGCTTTCCCTTCACCCCTAGCAGAACAAGGCACTTACCTTCATTGTTAAAATTCAAGTATAGAAATGGTGCACAAAGAGAGTCAAGACCTAAAGAGACAAGAGACATGAAGAAATGGCATACCGACTTTATTTATTGTAATGCACAAGATAAATTCATGAATTTATTATGAAAATTTCCATATTTGATACTGATTGTAATTCTGCAATGACAGGCTTCACGAGTAATGCTGAGAACAAGTGTGAAATCAATGCAAGAAAACAGAGGGTTTCAAGTTGTTGAACTGTAATACTGAATTGACTACTCTCTCAAGGCTTCCAGGAAATGCCATTTACCGTCCCAAGAACTCACTCAGTAACTTCTGCAGTTTTACACTGGAATGGAACAGTAATTAACAGATTTACTTTCTTTTTTCTTGGTTTTTTTTTCTTAATAAAATGACTGAAACTTATCTAAGAAATTTTGCAATGACCCACAGATTCATTCTTCAAAAGAAACAGAAAAGAAAGCACTCAAAAAAAGCTTACATTGTTAAGGGGAAAAGGGGAGGTATTTTTAAGTTAGCCATAGCTTTCCAGCTAGCTATTTGACCCTGCCAACTCGTCAAGCTCACCTTGCCAATACACCAAATCAGGATGGGAAACAACCCAGGCCTTCAACACACGTCTAAACTTTGCATGACCCTCTGGTGATGACAGCAATTCATCATACTGGTGGCAACGAGGAATATCAACTTCAATCTGCACCACAGCCAAGCATATAACATAAAGAGAAATCAGGGTAAGTAGGGCCGTACTACAGCAATCTTGCAACACTAGAGGTGGAAGTCAGCCAAAGCACATAGGTCAGACCACCATCATAAACACAATCTGCTTCCTCCATCAAAACCAAAACTGCAAAGGAACAGGGGACTCTAACACTATTGTCAAAATTTTAAAACAGCCATATTTTTTCTTCCAGATTCATATTTTTAAAAGGACCCTAACCCTTAAAAAAGGAAGAAAGCAGATTACAGTGATAGGGTTTGTTGTTGTTGTGGGGTTTTTCGGTTTGTTTTTTTGTTTGTTTTGACACAACTTCTGGACTTATTTCAGGTGCTAATATCCCTTTGCTCTCAAGGATAATCAAATCAAGAGTCTTCAGAACACTGTATCCAATTTGATTGAAAATATTTTTTTTATCCAGCCAGAAGAAACAACTGTTGCTCATGATGTCTTTGTACATCTGGCAAGACTTCTTGCAGAACCAAATTGCTCAAGAGCATGTTTCTGTGAGCACAGCTCACTTTACAGCATCTCCAGGTACTCAGCACTATCTGGTACAAGGTCCAACAGGCACCACGAGCATTCAGTAAAAACAGGACTTCTAACAATCCATCAGCAATATAGGTCACTACACTCTGCTGATGCTAAAGAAACAGTGTCCCTGAAGTAAAAGATGACTTCACTTTCCACATGTTAGAACATAAAATGAGTTAAACTACTTTTTCCTATCTGTTTTGCAAATTCTTGCTACAGTGTGAAAAAGGTCAGAGGACAATAGAAACCTCCCCTAGTATTATCAACCACATCTACTGTAATAGGTAAATGACTGTGACAGGTGGAAAAGATGTTTGCATTACTTTAGGGGACAATATTTGATAACACTGGAAGTCTTACTTGTCTGTCTGTAGGAATCGGCGTGTCTTTATCAATAGCATCATATTTTGCTTGTATGGCACCCTAAATGTAGAAGAAAACTTGAATTTAGAAAACCCTTATTAATATAAATGTAATAATACAATGTACATACTGATATACAGAAGTTGACTGTTCATATTAGGTGCTTTAGTTAGCAACTTTTTTTTCCTGAAAAAAATTCCCGAAGTACACAAAATTCTGATAGCTGAATTTTAACAAAGCCGTTATAATTCAGGACATGTGACCTCCTAAGTATGATTTTCAATGACTTTCAGTTGTTTATGGAGAAAGCTGTGTACTTGATACACTCTTCCATTTTCAAAGTAAGAGATGGTCTCAATTTAAATACAGTGCTTAGCCACTGGCAAGTGGCTTTCAGGATCATGTCTGTAAAGGCAGTAAATCCAGCTGCCTGTTAATTAATATTGACATTACCAATATATTCTACTCTTGAAAGCAGTCTGTCCTTGCACAAATCTCAAGACAAGCATGCTAACAAGTCAATGTAAATGTTATCAGACAGGGAGACACTACCTGCATTGTACAGAAGGTAAGCTGATGAAGCAGGACAACTGACTCATCTCCAAAGACCCAGGTTACAACCCTGATCAGGAGTTGTTCTTACCTTTAGGGGTTTTTTTTTTTTGATCATCATATATAGCATTCAGCAGATCATGTCCTAAGTCCAATATCTTAAATAACCTGGGATGTGTTGTCTATAAGAATCTCTTTGCTGCACTGCTGCAGATTGCAAGCAGGGTAGATGCAAAAGCTGGGTAGTCAAAGCAATCTCTGTGAGAAGTCCTCATTTCTGGGATACTCCTTTCTAGTCTTTTGTCCAAAAGACTTATATTTAATTTATTTACTCATTAGTCCTTGGAGGAAGTGCATGGATGGTACATGAGAAAAATACATTTGATATGTTTCATCTCTTTTGCCCAGCTACTGCTAACCGGAGCAGAAGGATTCTATCTGCCTTTGTCAAAAATACTAAAAATCAAAACAAAAGCATTCACCTGTTAACTACCAACTGAATTTAAATAATCTAGCAAAATTTGGTGGTACGGGTAGTATTTTTCCCTCCCATAATCAAAATTAAAAGCAATTAAGTTACATGCGTTCTCTGAAATCAAATAATATTAGAGACAAGAAGAAAGTTTGTCTGAACATGGCCTTTGTTTGCACAATTTCATGACCCATTTTGCTTGAAATACCAGTAATTCTACCTGCCAAATCTTCAAATCTATTCCAGCTTCCCTATCAATCCCATTCCTGTCCCATTCCCTCCACAGTCAGTACCGGAACTTCTGTGAATGCCCTCCCATTACCCTTACCTCGACACCCAGTAGGGCAGCCCAGGTTATGCCTCTCAGAAGAGGAGGGATGTCAACCCTTGCTTCTTTCCAAATTTGATTTTTCTTATAGGGGTAGGCCTTTGAAGAGAAGAAATTAACAAGAAAAGTGTTATTATGTAAATGAAACAATTCAAAACCCAGTCCTCAGATGGTCTTTCCCCCAAAGGACCTTGCTGTCAGCCTGAACAAAGAATACAAGCTTTACAAGTAAAGTTCATTCCTAACTGCAAGGCCTGGATGAAGGACTACTGTTGGAGGTTAAAATACCCGCTCCTTTTGATAAATGTATTCATGTGCTTTGGTGCATACTGGATATATAAATTTACTCATCCAAATTTATAAGTTTTTTTTTAATTATATGTTTCTTTTCATACTATGCATCCTACTTTGTTCCATCAAACATTTCCATTTTATACCTTCCTAAGTACTGCATTCAATGATGCATATCAGCATTCTCTTTCTTAAGCAAGAATCTCTCTCTCTGCATAGATGTAAATTCAGGACTAGTATTTTCCCTCCTTAGTATACACTCCATATTTCTAATTTTGCACTGCTACAGTAAAAACTGGCATTGTTTTCAACTTCCTCACTGCTTGGAAATGCAGAAATGTTACAAGCACATTAAAACATAAAAGCTTAGTGTGCTACAAAATAAAGGATGTGGAAGTATTTTCTTCAGTAAATAACAGGTATTAGCCGCAGGTCTGTTTTGAAATACTTTAAATCTACTTTTATATTCATCGCTACTGAAAAGGTGTCTTATACTTTTATTTTCAATCTTATAGTTCTGTAGGGTTTTCTTCCCTCTTTCCCACTGTGGTCTCTTGTACCTCTGCTTCATTTTTCAATTATTCGGTCCTTTAAAAGCACTCTAATTAACAGACTAAATCCAATTATACAGCATCGGAAAGATTTCATACCTTCAACAGCCTGTCAAACAAGACAATTCTATTTAGCTGGTACTCTGTGTCCCTCTCTCGGATGATCAGAGGAAGACTAGCAGCTGCAGACAGCTCATTACTACTATTTGAATGAGGTAAAGTTGACTGGCTGGAAAAAGAGTCAGGATAGTAGTAGTCAATAGCAAGAAATACAAATCACTGTGAAAAAAAAAAAGTAGAAATACATCACAGGATGCTTTTTGAGTCAGAGACAAGCATAAATGCATAATTTTGAATATTCTGCACAAACAGTTGATTTCCAGATTAGAGAAACAGGCAAGGATCTATAATTCAGCATGAGGGCCTGAAGTCCACCAGTGCAGAGTGCTTATCAGCTCTCACTGACTTCAAGAGCCAAACAAGGATATATTTGGAAGACATTTGTGTCTAGCTGTGCAGTGTGACATGCCAATAAAACTGAACTCAAAATTGAGTCCCTTATATATGAACACTTACTCATCTTCAAGCAATGGATAAAATGCTTCCCCACCAACATCTTTCAGTCTCTGAAAGAAAGAACAAAAAGAAGTCATTATCAGAAGTCTGCTCAGAATTCAAGTGGAAACACTTAATGGAATACAAAAACTATTAATTAGTAATTCACTTGATGAATTTAATAGCTTGCCTTGAGACCCAAGCATTAGCTTAGTCCTCCAACAGCAAAGAAACACACAGCCTTTAATGCTAAAAAACCCTAATAATACAAGCTTTCTGAGTTGATGGAAGCTCTTCTGCTAGAAGATAACACTCGTCTCATTCACAAACCTATTTTCATACAAAAAAATAGCTTCTATGGGCCATGGATTAATATATCAATAGTATTACATAGTTCTTTTCTTTTTCCTCATTTTTTTCACATGAACTTCCTATCCAAGTAGCGGAAAAGCAACTGCACAACTTGGTTTTACGTTTTTAATCAGTTCAAGAGTTATGCAAATTTGAGTTTCTCTTAGTAGCAGCATCTGAAATGACACTCTCTGGAAAGGTGACAGCCAACCATGCCTGGATTTCTGCCTGAAGTTTTCAGACATCTTTGGTGCATTGTGATTAATGTTTAATGCCATTCTCCCTGCAGTGCTCTGTTTTGCAGTTCAATCCCTAACTTAAAGGCATACGGCACACAGTCTGTTCCTCCAGGGATTTCTGGAACAGTTCATTCTCAGTTCATTCAGCACTGATCCTCTTTTGATTATAAGCACTACGCACTGCTCTGTAAAAGGTGTTTGAAGAATTGCAAAGTTCAAAAATTTATTTCAACTAACACTGGAAGGTTCAGGCTTGTATCCTCCCCAAAATGAAACTTCAGTATATACTTATTTGCTGCTGTATTTATAGAAGCAGGCAGCATTATCCAAAATCACAGATAAAAATGTTTTTTAAAAAGCATTAAAAGCTGCCCTTCTGTAGAAACAAGAGTAAGAGCTGCGGTATGTAATACCTTTAAAATACCTGCAAGGTTCTACTGAGGAAATAAGTCTACACAGTATTTGCCACATTGCCTACAAAACTAAGGTAACGGTGCCAGACATGAAGACTCCAGGAGTCAGCTTCCTTTCATTAACCTCTATAATCATATGGAAAGTTTTTTTTATAAAGACTGTGACACTTGCTACTATAAAAAGCAAGCTGCAAACAGTGCAGCATAAATTTTAAATTCTTCAGCAATAAAGCTCTCCACGTGTAAAGACGTGAACAGTTAAATCATTTCAGTGATATATGCAGTAAATCTTAAAAGTGATCATTATATCAAGCAAAATTATAAGTTATCATATGTTGATTTTTCTCCTGAGGGTGGTAGAAAACTGCATTACTGCATTTTGCCAAAATGCTTTGAAGTAATTTTTTGAACTGGTTGTTTAGTACCTATATATTCCAAAGATTAGGAATTGACTACTGGAAACTTGGTATGCAACTGTAGGCACAACACTTTCAAAGAGCTGCAACTGAATTGCATTGATCTTTGCAATGTTGTGAGGCACCTACAGACAGGAGTTAAAGAATGCAAGAAGACACTCGCTGTCCAATTAGTTTAGCAGTTGTGAAAATGTAGTGTGCTAAACAACTATTTGGGCTACATGAGAACAATGCAGGTAACAAAAACAAGGAAAGGGAAGGACACAGGAAGGAGATGGAGGGAAAGAAGATAAATCAAATTTAGTAAGCTTTTGCAGACAAAGCAATTTAATGGTGTCTGAGTCAGATTCTCATTTATGCTAAGAAGCATTGTCTTGAAATCTGTAATATTGTCATTTGTAGGTGCAGCAGTAGGAGCTGCTGTTTTATTTCCCTTTAAATAACTTTCTGCAGTGAAAACATAAGAACAAGTGCAGAATATTCTTCTTACATTTCGGAGCTGGCACAGAGACAAAGTCACAGTTGTGTCATCTAGGAGGGAACTTCTATCTCGTCCTTGCCCAAAGCTCTCACCGTCTTCCATTAAAAAGCTTCAAAAGGGAGGAAATAAAAATCAGGTAATTTTATAACATAATACTTGAGTTAGAAAAAATAGAAAATACTCACATCAATCAGTTTCCTCTTTAGAACAAAATACTAGCTCTTAGAAGTATACTCTATTGACTCTGTATGGCATGAAACCTGCTATCAAGGGAATGCACAATCACCTTAAATTATTCTGTTTTTGCTGCAAAGAGGCACTTTTCAGGTTTTCTGCACACAAAGGCAGAGTGATGAGATACAGGATTAATATTCCCTTTTATTCATTGACCTGTCGAACACTAGAATTGTCATTTATTGTGAAAAGCAAAAGTAAAACATTATTGTCATATGAAATGACATCCCACCATGACAAAAAAAAAAGAAAAAAAGTGAAAGTCTGATCCAGACCTTTTCTGTTGCAATCTGTCCAAGGACACAAATGCATCCCGGAAAAAGTAAACAATTGTCTATTTGGTGGTATTTTGAAAGTAGAGAATACGAAATTGATTTTGAGAAATTAAGCAAACATACTCAGTATCACTTAGAAGACTGAGTTAGATTGCATTTTTTAAATTAACACCTCATGTTCAAGATAGATAGTATGACTAAAAATCTTTTTGCCTCATACTCCAGGAGTACATGCATTCACCTATAGGTACAGAAATAGGCAGTTCCTCAAAATCTCATACTAACTTTGCCAGCAAAATATCACTTAAAATCTAGCTCAAGTTTTGTAGGTTTTTTTTTTTTTGGTCAAGGTATTGCATTTCAGCTGTACACTGACTTCATGTGTTTTTAAAATCCAGAACTGGCAAACCAATCTATAGAGACATATCACTACGCTTATTGAGATTGGATTGTAGGATTAAAACATGTATACACTACATAAAATCACAATGTGCAGCAGTAAGATAAAAGTAGTAATGACCAAAATGTTGTTACAGAATTATGTCATAAAATGTAACATTTAAAAAAAAAAATCAGTTAATACACTGAATAACTGGGTTGACCATTCAACATTAATGCTCAGTGAAAGGAAATTCAGAATGTGGGAATTTGCTGCTGAAGTTATTAAATTAAATTACAATTAAAAATGTGCTGTTGAAGTACAGCGAGACATTTGTAGTAAAACTTCAAGGAACTGGGAATGATGCTAAAATCAGGGACTTCCAGTTCAGTACTAAGCCTCTAATGTGCATTTCTTCAAATTTCAGAAAACAATATGAAGTTCTGGTAGGTGGCAGGGGTAAAGAGGGGGAGTGACATGATTTTCTTTTGTTCAAGAACACTATTTTCAATATTTTTCACATGTACTGGTTTGAAACTAAAAACCAAACCAAAATATTATCTCAGAATCACTGGCCTTCTACACCCATCCTCCTTAGGGTGCTTCTCCTTCCTTACTTGGGAAGCGTGCAGACAGGTGGCTTTGATCGGATGATTTCCTTGTTGACAAGTTCTTTCTCCAAGTCTCCTCCAGCCAAACACCATAGATAATAAACCTCTTCAATCGATCTTTCTGCTAGGTAATCACTATCTTCATCTATCAGGAGAAACCACATAAAAATGAGTTACAGCTTCTTACAGAGCTTGTATTTCTTCCTACCACTCTAAACATATATGACACTTGAAAGGTCCTAGACTTTAGTATGAAGTTAGAGGAAAAGTGATTTTCCCTTTGCAAGTGCCCTTGAGGAACATTTAAGGAAAGAGCAGATGAGCAGAAGTTAGAAAAAAAGCAAATATTTCTTCAGTTTGGCTTGATGCCAGAAGATAAAATCAACCAGATAAACACATTGAAGTGTGGACTTTTGCTTCTTGTGTGTGTTTTTTAAAAAAAAAAAACGAAACACTATTATGTACACAACACAGAGTTAAGCATAAAAATAAGAAAGCGGGGATTCATGCTGTTATTATCTATCTTTGCTTCACATAGCATACTATATGGTATAAATACTAATATACATACTAATAAGGTATAAAATCTTAGTCTCAAAAAAAACTTATAATAAACATGTAGAAATCTGAATTAATCATAAAAAGTTAATGGTGACTTAAAAGCAGTAACGTTTTCAGTGTAATGTAGTTTTAAACTTAGAAATGTCTTTTATTCTAGAATGTAACCTCTTTCACAAAGATTTAGACTTCCAATACTTCAAAAAATGCAATGATCTGGCAGAACGCAACTGCCAATTCACAACACAATTCAGCAAAAAACCCTAACATGTACATGCACATGTCCAAATTCTAAAGGCAACAGACGATATTGATATTCCAGGCGGGACTTGAATAATAATGAAAACTCTTTATTCCTTGAGACTGAAGCACAAAAATCAAGATGTGGTCTTTTGACCTGCACACATCCTCAAAACACGTTCATCCATATCTCTGCCTATTAAACAACTTATAATAAGGATGTAGTATTGTCACATTTAATAGTTTTTCTCCCACACAGTATTAAAAGAAAATGCAAAGCCATTTTATTTTCCTTCCCCTTCCAATGCCATTTATCCCACCGCCTGCTTTTACCTTTACATAATTGACTTATGTCTTCAGGAAGCGTTAAATTAGCACACCTTGGAGAAGATGAGAACAGACCGGCAGGTTTGTGGAAGAGAGGATATGCCGAGGATACTTCACTGAACAAATTGTCATGCAGCAATTCCTCTGGAGTTGGCCTTGAATTAAGAAAAGAGAGCAAAACTCAGAGTAAAGTGCTTCCAAAAATGCTAGATTTCAGTAAGAAATATCCCCATTAACAAATACTGGCAAGCTATTTCAAGTATATTGGATTTTAAAAATTTTAATAGCAAAAATGTCTACCAATTTTGTTGAATTCATGATGCATAACACACCATGCAGTCTGCTTCCAGTCCAAGTTTAGATCTCATGGTCATTTAATGTACAGAACAACTATTTTATTAAATCCCCTTTAATTCCTCTAAGCAGAGATGGAAAAATGCAAGTGCAAAGTCTTGATTAAAGAATAAAAGCATACTTCAGTTCTTAGAAGAAACCTGTGGTGAACTGACATAATGCAAAAGTACTTCAAAAGAAGAGATTTGAAGAAAGCAGCCCTAATACTGGCTACAGCAGAGCTATAGTTACCACCATCAACTTCCAGATACGGAATCAGCAAAATCTGTGTACTCAGAATGACACCTGAATTGTTTTCCCCCAAAATACTCTAATTTAATCTCAGGGTTTTGCACGCTTGATTTCTGCCCTCTCCAGTTCTTTCCCTTTAAACATTACAAACCAACAAAACCACAAATTTCTTAGAGGCGGCACAAATTTTCAGTATTCCAATAAACGTTCCACAACAAGTCATCTAATTTCACAGTACCCTGGCAGGGTTTAGTAGGCATTTGGACTAAATACTTGCCTCTTTGAAGGCTGGAATGTAAGGCATTTCTTCAGTAGAGCTATGATATTTTCAGAAAGGTCCTGGAACATAAGAAAAAATACCAAGGAGGTCTGTTTATTACTGTCTTAATTTAGCCAGTCGCTTAGCTCATACTTAACTTTTAACATACAGGCCACTCCTTTGAGGGCAATAAAATTTTGCACATACACATAAGAGATTAGCTGTGTTAGACCGAAATGTTGGGGAAATAATTCTTCTCAATACCCAACTCTGCATTTGCTTTGAGGGGAAAAAAAAAAGCTGAAAAATTTCCAGTGTATGCACTTTTTTATTCTTATTTTTTAGTTTAGATATTCTGTATCCAGCTTGAAACGATGCTGTACCAGGGAACTCCCTTCTGCTAATAGTCAGAACCCTTCTATGTAATGTCTCAGAATATACTGACAATCAAATTAAGTAATTTTGGGGATGGTGAGGAGTTGAACTGTATAAACACTATCACAATGTGTAATACGGATCAGAGAGAAGGCTAAGTTTCTAGAAGAAAATAACTTACCTCTCAACACTTTCAGAAAATTTATAATTTGTTAAACTATCCACAAAACATTAACATCTACTGAGTTTGACAGCAATTTTAGTAAATAATATTACCAGTACTAGCTATCTGAAAGAATCTTAGAAATGTACTTTAGACTTAAACATTAAAAATATATATATATGTATATATATATG